GAGAATCAAGGAATTTATTTTATGTTGGGCAGTTGGGACTTGGGAGCAACTTGGGAGTGGCTAATTTTGAATATTTACTTAATTTAATTAATGCATCTATAAATAGCTTTGATGCTTCAGAGGCGGTAGTTCATTTACACATAGTTTTGCGGCAGGCGGTATTTCCTAAGTACCGCCTGCCATGCAGGCTATATACGCGGTTGAAACGCGCGCAGGCCAGTCCCCATCCGCTAGTCCGCGTCCGCCATTCCGCATCTGGTCCGCGCCTGTCTTTTATATATCCACACCTTTTTTCCGAAGGTCCCGGAGAAAACTATACAAATACAAAAGATTATACAATATTAATATGCATGCAACTTTCGTCAAAAACATCCGAAGACACAAATTGGCAAATTCCTTTAACTAGCACCTATCTTCAACTTGAAATGGCGGGTCAATTATAGGCTCTATTTTTATCTGAAATAAGCTATGATGTCCTACTATTCACACCCGCCCCACAAATGTTGGGTTGAGACAGACACGATTCTATCAAAGGACAAAAATCTGCTAAATGCTCACCAGCAGCCAGTTTAATCGGGCTCTTAGACGCATTGAGAACACGTAAAGGCAGAAGTCTGTTGTCACGTTTTACGACAATATATATATTGTACATTCTACACATTCTATACACATTATATACATTTTATTCCCGAGCTGACGGCGCGAAGCGCCGTGCGAGGGTACTAATTTCCCCCCGGCTATTTACACCCGGGGAAACGAAAGCATTAGCGAAGTCTAAAGTCCATCAATCATCGCGGGCGCTGACCAACGAAGGACGATCTTGAGTGGGTGGTCATCCTCACTTATCTCCAAAATATGGCAAGCAAGATTTCAATTTTAAAAGACATATATTTCGAAAATCGTTTCATATACAACAAGCTTGAAGCAATTTTGTTCGAAGAAATGAGAAGAATTGGTTTACTACGGGAAATCGTGAAATATACGGCAAGTTTGCTTTGAATATTTTTAAAATGTTTACGAATTTTGTTGCTTTAACATTTTACGCAATAAAAAACATGAACTATAGAAGCTCTAAGTTTCATAAATTACCGTTTAATTTGAGAAAAAATCTTAAAATGTAAAGGCGAACAAATTAATTGATTTGAAGACTGAATTGAAATTACCTAACAATTTTATTTTATTTGTATTAAACTTATCATGTTTTGTTAAGTAAAAACAGTTTATCGGCAAAATGTAGGTTTACTTGAATGAACATTTCAAAACATTTTACGAAGCGTTTCAAGTTAAATTTTACATTAAATCAAAGCTCACAAAATGCAAAATAATATACCTACAGTATGTATTTCGGAAATTTATTGTTGTATAGTTAAAAGTACGAATCTTTCAACTATTTTGCAGTTTTGTACAAAATATACGAAAATAAAAATTTAAGAATATCGTGTTGTCATGGCAACACTTGAGCGCGAGCCTGTGTTCAGTGCTGGTCATTTCTGAATACTTCATGTTTAATGTATGGCAATATTGGCGAGGGGTTACTGCATGCACGTATTTCTAGTACATTATAAATAAATAGATTATATACCCTATTTATATCCTTATATTGCAAACACTTTGCAAATTAGCGTAACTGCTACTAAATGTGTCAATAAACCATTAACCACTACCAGAAGTTAGTGGCTGCTCGACCACGCAAGAAGGCTGCTGGCAGTTTTACGATTTTTCCGTCGTTAGCCTCGGTTACTTTCCAACCATTTGCAGCACAACAAGCATCAAATTCGCGTAACCAAGCATCAAAATCGCAATCATCAAACTTTGACAGGAACACTGCAGACATTGCAATATTTTCCGCTGCCACCGAATGTAACGAGCCGAGCAAACACAACAGGCAAGTGAGACAACGTGATCTAGATTTAGCTTAAGTTTATGAAGTATCAAAAGTCTCATTTTTTTGCACGAGATTGTAGATGAGCTATCACAGCTCATGGGGGCTAAACGCATAAAATATGCAAAGGGTCTCAGCTCCTTGCTGAAACGATCGAAAGTTACAGCCACATATAAGCCTAGTTTCCATTTGGTCGTTAGTTGTCGCTGGCACGACAAGCGGTAGATGTGAAATAGTCTAATATAATAATAGTCGTTTTGTGTGTTATATGCAAATCAGTCTTAATGATTGCAGAGTTTTATAAAGTTCTGTTGACATTCTATTACATCAGCCACTTGTCGTGCCAGCGACAATTAACGGCCAAATGGAAACTAGGCTATATTGACCAACACCACGGAAAAACGTCTGCGCATGCGTCCACCTTACCTGTAATAGTATTGCGAACTTGATGAGAAGCTGTTCCGAACGTTTCCGAACGCTCAAAATGGCGGTAAAATGGAGTGACTTCCTTGTGCGTCTTTACAGCCAGATTTCGAGCGCAAAAATAAACAAGTCATTCTAAAATCTAGGAATAAATACAGCCAGAAGGTTCAAGAAATTGTATTGTACAAGAACATGAACTAAAGATGATTGTTGACAAATTTATCGTCTGAAACATTTTGTTTATCAACTAAGCAACGACAATTTCCGAATTTTCGTTTGAGATACATTTCTTTAAAAAAAACTGTGTCGCCAAATATAAAAAATTTTCGTGTTCACAATAATTAAACTTTAGGATTTATTCCACAATTTGAGTGGGTTAAGAAGCTTAACTTTTCGAGAGTTTTCTTAACTTTTTAGTTTGAATTTTTGTTTTGAATAATTCTGCAAAAATTTTCGAAGTCGTGTCCGTTAAAATCAACAATTTTTTTACATGAATTATATTTCATTCCATACTTTAAATGCCAGGACGCTTTCAATTAATGTCTAGTCTACCCATTTGCTATATTTTCTCGTTTGTTTTACTAATTTTTGACCAATTTATAAGCATGTTTTTGTTTTAGAAATTGATATTCAAATTCTCCGCCATATTTTCATAATTTGGTGCATGCGCAGACGTTTTTCCGCGGTGTTATATTGACCACACTTATAAAGTTGAGTCAACTTATCTTAACTGAGCATGCGTACAGTATACATACTGACTGAATATTAATGAGACTGTGATGAGACGAACTACTGAATTTTTTCAAGATGTGGTCCAAAAACATAATACGTGCAATGTAAACCTTATTTTGTCATAAATAAGCCAAAGTAAAGCAGACGAAAAAGGGCGCAGACTGATGCCATACACTAAATACTCAGCGACATGGCCACTTTACTGAGCAATTTCTGGTCGTGAATTAGAAGGGCTTAGCCCCCTCGCATTAATTTAGTTTGGCGATGAAGTTATTACATTCTGTCTATAAGAGGACACTAGCAGGCGTTAATGGGTTAAGAAGTCGATCTGCTTATTTTTCAAAGGGGCTTTTTAACAAGCTTCCGACCGCTGGGGCTTGGGCTCTACAGCGACTATAACAATTTTAATTTCCTCGCTTGCACGTCAGCAGCGAATATAACAATATTGATAATTATCCGGGGTTTTAAAACCAATCACGAACCGAGAATAACATTTGAATGTATAATAATGACATGCAATTATTATTTAGATGCTTTACCCTCACCCTTTCGGTGTTTTATTATATATTCTCTATTAGTTAATTTGCTAATGCCGCACTTTTTCTTTTCAGAAGTGCTGACATCATGCAAACAAATATTGACGAGCCCAAGGTAAAACACATAATCTTAATATAAATGTCAATGTCAAGCAGAAAATACGTAAAAGACCCATAACGTTAACAAAAAATATAGTGTAAAATATCTATTAAAAAGCTAACGTTTTGTCTTTAACTTAAGACATCTTCAGAGCAATGGCATGCAAAGCGGAAGACATAGGAATATGAATAAATTACAACTATTTACAAGATATTATAAAACAAAAGTAGAAAGAGGACTGGACCAGAGTAGAAGTAGAGGGACCAAACTGCCTTGTAAGTTGAGAGAGAGTTTGAGTTTGTTGATGAGAAGACTTCTCAACTTTTCCCGCTCAGTGCTCTGAAGATGTCTTAAGTTAAAGACGAAACGTTAGCTATCTAAGAAATATTTTAAACTATATTTTTGTTATGGATCTTTTACGTATTTTCTGCAGATTACGATTTCCGCCCGGTTCATCTTTCGCAAGTAAAATACACACATATATACCCATATACACACAACACATACACACACACACATACACATACACACACACACATATTCACATACACATACACACACATACACACACACATACTCACACATGGCGTTCAGAGGCGCCGGAATATCCATAATTGGGGGGTGGCAGATATTCATATATTCGTGTTCTGCCCAATTAGTCCCTTTTGAAATCGATTGTTTTTACAGTCTGTGAACACAAATATATGAATATCTGCCCTCGCAATTATCGATATTCCGGCGCTTCTGATGGCGTTTATTTCCTCACGCTAGCCTCTCTCAACTTTTTTAAAATAAAAACTAAGCTGGTTTACAGAAGGGGCGTAATTGTGCTATTAATTCTGTATAACTACCACATCGACAATTACTATATATACACTAATTAGGTTATTTATTAAACACTTACAAAGGAAATTGAAGAAGAGAAAGTTCGTATACGTAAAATATGTACACGTACCCATTTGCCAGTCTCTTCTAAATCACATAAATTATAGTATATTCAAATCTATATATGGTTTCAGTAAACGGCAGATCGGCAAAGCATTGAAAAGTGAGGTTCCATTTTTCACCACAGATGGAAAATTGTTCCACAACATCAACCCACTGATTTAAAACTTCGCTTGAGAAAACTACGTTTTTGGTTTTGGTAGAGATATATAGATTAAATCATATAATTTGTTTGTGGAAACACCAGATAAATTTTTTATAGCTTTCGATCCGTAAGCCCTGATCTTCATCGATATTAGTGCTAATACTTGTTCAAATCATTTTCCAAATTGCGTAAATTGTAAACAGAAAATTAAGTTAGAAAATATTTTGTTTATCTCACAGCAACAAGGGAAATGGTGTTTACCAAATCAGTGTTGGAAAAAATAAATCTATTGACGTGTACTGTCAAATGACTAAAGTCTCAGGATGCTATGGCGGCGGTTGGACAATGGTGATGAAGATTGATGGAAGCTTGGTAAGCGTGTGTGCAGATTGAATGATTATGTCTGCTTTGGATCTCATTGCTTAAAGATGTCTTATACGAAGACGAAACGTTTGCTTTTTAGTAAAAATTTTGAAATATATTTTTGCTATGGCTATTTTACGTATTGTTGGGCATTAATATATTTTTTAAGATTAATGATTATAATGTATCTGCGAATCAGGACGCAAATATACTTGTATACAGCGATGCGTGCAAGTTTCCTGTAAACAAATTAAATTCCACGTTTTCGTCAGATTTTGTTTGTTTGTGTGTGTGTCTTGCTTTTCCCGGTAAAATAAACCGAATGTGCAATTAGCCTATTGTATAATCAATGCACGATATAACTTATACGTATTAATTAATTAACCCGATTGCGGAGGTATGCAGGCTCAGAGTGTCTTCTAGTTTCTTAACGTATTTGTTTTTATAGAATACTTTCAAATACAGTTCCTCCTATTGGACGAACAAAACAACTTACAATGACACTGACTATGGGCGAAACGGCGGTTTAGACAACGGGCAATATAAAGGATCGACTTACTCGGCAACCTCATTTGAAGAAATTTGTGTTGGTATGAAATATGGTGGTAATTTTAGAGCATTCTCTTTCCGGTATCCGGCATCATCATTGTATGATTTGATCGCAGACGGAAACTATCGACACACTGACGTTAGTCGCGAGCAGTGGAAAGGTTTAATCAATGGATCATCCTTACAGGAGAATTGCACGAGACAAGGATTCAACGTGCGAGGTAATATCAAGATCCCAAATTATGGAGTATTTGTAAAAGTTCGGTTGGGCATTATTGCAAACAACGAAAATGATTGTGTTACAGCCGACTCTTTCGTAGGCCTGGGAGCTGGAGGTGGTCTGAATTATCCCAGGAGCTGGTGTAGATCTTCGCATACATCTGCAAACGCCGCCGGTAATCTTGCCCAGTGTGGTGCAGACAACGGAAACAAGAATGCCAGAGCCATGGCATACATATTGGTTCGTTAAAAGAACTGAGTGGTCCGATTTACACTAGAGATGGATCAATCGTTAGAACGCATCATCTGTCAGACGGATCATTCGGTGATATGTTGCACGATGCAATATTTACTGCAACTTGCAATGCATTTTTGGGGATAGTCTATATGGCGCGGGTCGCGAGTCAATAGAAATGGCACGGGTCCAGCGAAAATGGCGCGAGTCCAACGAAAATAGCGTGGGTAACAAGTTCCGAGAAGCGAGTAAAAAGTTCCAAGGCGCGGGTAATAAGATCAATTGCCCGGTACTTATATTCAAGATGGCGGCTATTTTGACTAAAGTTCTGCAATTATATATTCGGTCAAATATCGTCTTATTCTGTGGAAACACGCGAGCTTTAAATTAAACTAACAGACATCAATTAACTTAAGTAAATCACGTTTGGAGGCGATATCTTTTTAAACACAAAGAGAGTGGACAGTTGTCACTGTCACTGTCGGTATATCATTTTATTTTTATCATGACATTTTTATTGATTTAATTATATGATCAGTTTGACATATTCCTGAATGCATCTTAAAACCTGATCATTGTCCAAAAATTGTCAGATAGGCACTTTCACACTCAATTTATTAGATATTAGCATGTAGTTCGCCCCACTTTATGCACCAGTCAGTGGTTTCCCCCTGGGGAGGGGGGGGGGGGTTATCGGGCTTACCGACAGGATTTGACATTTTGCTAAAAATTTCTGTCAATTTCACCCAATATGGGGCGACCTAACGAAGTCAAAGTACGTCAAACTCCGTCAATGTGCCCCAGCCCCAAGATGCGAGGCTAAAATTTTCAAATTCCTGACCCTCAGGATGCATGTTATTGTCAAATCTCTGTCCCAGGGGATACCCCCCCCCCATGCGGCAATCCACTGACTGGTGCATTAGAAATTACAAATTTACTCTGTACTAGAGGTGCGCAAATCCAATCCGAATCCGATCGGGTTCGTTCCGATTTCGGAACAAAAATATTTATTTCGGATTGGAACGGATTGATAAAGTTGTTTCGTAGTCGGATTGGATCGGACTTCGATATTCGAAATAAAATGAATTAATTATCGACGACAACGGGGCTGTTGCTGCATTATATTATTGTTTGATAATTCAATTGGACTTCACTTTGTCAGCTTCTTGACATGTATTTCTAGCTTTTATATTTATTTGGTTAAATATTTCCACTTGAATATGAAAAACATATTTTATTAAAGGATTCTTCGGATCGGATCGGAATTCTTTGTCCAAACTCGGATCGGATTCGGATTAGACAGTTTCGTATCAGATTTTAAACATTAGACAATTGTTAGATTATAAACGTTCGATCCAATGCAGACCTCTACTCTGGACTGTTAAATGCCAGACGATTTTCCTGATCGATATCAAACTGATCATATAATTAAATCAACAAAAATGTCAGGATATGTGAATAAAATCAAGCAATTCACAAATTATTAAATTTTGATAGTGATTACTGGTATAAATAACTGACAGACTCCTTCCAAGTATTCCATTTCCAACTGTCCTGAGTCCTGACTGTCCACCGACTCTCCGTGTGTTTAAAAATATGCTGAGTATCACGCCTCCAAACGTGATTTACTTAAGTTGATTGATTGATGTCTGTTAGTTAAAGTTTAAAGCTCGCAGAGGTTCCACAGATTGAGACGATATTTGACCGAATAATTGCAGAATTTTTAGTCAAAATAGCTTTCATCTTGACGAAATACCGACTAATTGATCTCGGAACTTGTTACCCACGCTTAGGAACTTTTTACTCACGCCTCGGAACTTGTTACCCGCACCATTTTCGCTGGACCCGCGTCATTTCTACTGACTCGCGACACGCGCCATATAGACTATCCCCAGTTTCTGCATGTCTCAGAGCCTTGCTAGAATTTTCTGAGCATGGTCCACGGTTTACTCTGCCAACATTTTTCATCCCGTTTCTTTCAAGTTTTGACAGAATAGAATGTGGGTCATTTTCATCATTTCTCTATAGTTACGTTTTAGATAACATGGCTCACTCATTTGGCTCTGTATATCTGAAGTTGCAGCAGAAGTTGCCTCGCTTGACATGGCCTTAACGTATAGTGTAAACACTATAGACAAACCATCTCTAGCATAAAACGGGTCATTCACATTAAAGATTCATTTAACATAATATTCACAATGGCTAATTAGTATAGTAAAGGAAACTAGATGAAATCACAATAAATCTTCAATGTTAGGGGACTATATAATCATATATTTATAATAGCACGATATCAATTTTACTTTAAGTTGATGATTATCATATATACTTGCTTTATTTTAATCAACATTTTTCAAATATCGAGCAGTTTTCAGAATTGCAGTGTTAAAATCTTGGCATTGTGAAATGCAATCAAGGGTTGGGTACATTATGTAATCTAAATTGAAGTGTAGGAACATGTAATCCAAATTAGGTAATCTTAATTAAACACATAATCGATCAACTAGTGTGCTGAAATTATTTTAAATAATTCATGTTTATTTCATTACTGTAGTCGATAGTCAAGCTTCATGCAAATATCGGACTGACTGAAACAATAAAGATTATATCAATGCTTTTAATTAAATGGCCCTAGCCATCTAGATATATAAAAATATATACCTATGTCGAATGTCTATTAGGCAAAAAACCCTGGGTTTCTGGTTTCCCGACTCTACTTAGCTTATGGCCACTGAAATTGCATACCCTAATCTCTCCATCTGAAGTTTGCAAAGAGTTTGGAACAATTTTTCTTACCCATTCCCTGTCGTTTGTTTTGTACTAGCTAGTAAAGTATAACATATAGCTCTTTAATTGTTTCAAAGTCGAAATAGCATTTAGCAAATATTCGTGATTGACGTAGCATATCATTCTTTATATGCATGAGCATTTATTAAATAAATTTACAAAAAACACCTACCCTATACCTATAAAAGTTTTAGAAACAAGATGTGGAAACCCTGATCACGACCATTGGGAATAAATGGAAAACGGTCTTAAATGTGCATGATCATGGGCGTACCGGGCGGGGGGGCGGGGGGGGGGGCGGTAGCCTCCCCCATTTTTTGGGCAGTCGGGCAATATTCGCTGAACAGTCGGGCAATTTTGGTTAATTAAAAAAATAAATGGGACAAATTCTGTAAATTTGGCGGAAAATTTTGTGAAATTTCCCAAAATTTTGTAGGTTCCGGACAATTATGGTATATCCGGAAAAAATTTTTGACCCCTAAAATGGTACGCTGACCGAAATTTTTTTGGCGACGGGGGGGGGAGGGGGAGGTCGCCAAAATAAATTCCGGAAAAAAAATTTTCGGTACTTGTCGGGCAAAATCCTGAAAAGTCGGGCAAATTTCTTGCCGCCCCCCTAAATTTTTCTTTCCTGTACGCCCATGTGCATGATGCAGTTATGAATGTATCTTATAACATAGCTGTTTTGTTTAGTTCGTTCTTGGAAAAAAGGGGAAGAAAAATTATTCATTCAATAATGGCTTACTTGGAAATATTTGAATTTATGAGGAGATTTTTTACAAAATCGCGTATCGGGCGCTCAAAACCAAATGAATTAGATGCTAGAATGAGAAATTGATAGAATAAATCGGATGATGACATGGTGGCCAGTTTTTATATCATATTTACGGAGCCCCATAAGTACGGAAACCGTGAAGGGACTTCGGACTTTAGAGTTCAGACTTCATACCTCGGACTTCAGATTTCACACATTGGTTCCTTCCGAGCTTCGCTATAATAGCCAACATAGCTTTTGTGAAGCTGGATAATATTTCAGATACTTATTGAGTCAAAGTTATTCAAACTAAAGTCAAAAATGCTAAGAACGATTTAGACTGTAAATGCAGACTGTTGTTGGAATATGAGTTCTTTGTAGGTTTGCAGGGCGATAAAACATATAACACTATTGTTTGTGAAAACACCACCTAAATTTATTACTGCAGTAAATTTAATAAATTTATTCTGTAAATTTATTAAATTTATCACGTAAATTTATTAATTACTTTAAATTTATTAAATTTATTATTATTATAATTAATATTATTATTATTATTATTAATTACGAAAGTTTTCCTGAATTGAAGAAAGGCATAAATCTCCCGAAAAATGATTCTGAATGGTCAACGGCTAATGATTATTTTGAATGTGCACTGCAGCCAAATGATCCAATCACATTGCATGATCTAAATTCAAAAATCAAGCTTTTAAATGACGCGATATACAACTACTTTGCAAATAATTATGGACATACTGAAACTGTACCCGACAAAAATATGGCAGCTAAATATAAAGAGTATACGGTTAAAGAGTTAAAGAAAGCTTTACAAAATTTAAAATCCAAAATGGGTGACCTAAGTGAAATTAAATACGTATCGCGTACATTGCGTGACAGGCTCCGTAACAATAGCAACGACGCCAATGACTTAAATGACAGTGAGTCTTTTAATCACAACAAATATCTGGAACGAAGCTTTTTGGGCTATGTTAAAAATATAATCAATAGAAAAGACGCAGTATTACCATCATTTAACATGACTGATTGCCTTTCTTATTTCTCTAAATCTCTGGCTAAAATTAATCCTAACAAGCTCTTTGTAATTCCCAGCTGGATCCCAAAGTTATCTGATCCTGCAGTTCAATTTAACCTTGACCCCCCGACCTATCAACAAATTACGAATGTTATACGCAAAATGAAATCGTCTGGTTCTCCTTGCCCTCTTGATCAACTTTCTATAATAAGTTTCAAGCATTGTCCTTATCTGAGAACTTACCTTACTGAGCTAATTCACGATATTTGGCTATCTGGAACTGTCCCAACTGAGTGGAAAAGAGCATGTACCATACTAATCCACAAGAAAGGCAACAATAATGACCCTTCAAATTTCACCCCATAACACTCGAATCCATACCTTTAAAAGTATTTACATCTTGTCTTCGAAACGCAGTATACTCCTTCCTCGCATCTAATAACTTCGTCGAA